AGATGCATCCGGCGCGTCTTTCGCCGGCGCATCCTCTTTTGCACAGCCCAGGCTCTTGTTCGAACAGCACCACTGTTTCTTTGCCTCTGACCAGTGCTCAAAGGGGTCTACCTGGCAATCGAAAGGTTCGGACGTTGTCTTTGCATCCTGTGCTTCCAATACCTCACCAGATTTCGCACATCCCAACTGTGTGTTCTTGCAGCACCAGTCCTTCTTTGCCTCGGACCAATGTTCCACAGGGTCCTCTCTACAATCAGACTCGCTGAAGGTGACATTATGCGACGCAGGGGCCTCTGCAGTGTCCACCTCAGAACCCTGCATCTTTGATGAACAGGCCACCTGGTGGTGACTACAGCAGTACGCCTTTTTCTCTTCGGAAAAGTCCCTCTGCCAAGTGTCAATGTCTTCTTGGCAGTTAAAACTTGGCTCTGGCAGTGTGCCGTTGCCTTGACTGGTGTCCTCAGTTGTATGACAGCCTGTCAGAAAAAAAACACCGACACGTCCTTCAAAAGTAATCATGCTTGGAGTTCCATATCGATCTTGGGCAGGGTAGCTTAGCCACAAAAAGGAGGAATCCAGCCAGCCAAATCAATTCATACGGAGGACCCAAATGGTGGATGGAGGGAAACCTTGACTTGTCTATATAAACCTTTATACCTTAAACACCCCTGGCCCCGTTGCATAAAATCTGACCAGTCAGCCTGGGATCTGAACCCCCCCGGCAAGGCCAAGCAAGGCCTATCCATAGCAGCAACCTTCGTTCACAAAAAGGCTTATGTAGGGTGCTGTGGAATTGAAAGTTGAAATCGTGCCACACAGACGAGGGTTTGGTTTTGTGGCTTTGCGGTGGTTGAGCTCAACATCAAAGCTCGATTGCCGGTGAGAAGTGCTCGAAGGATCACACCTGAAGCCCCTGGCTTTGTGTTGCTTTTTGTCTGAGTGTTTTCTGAACCCTCAAGAGCCTAACCCCAACATCGAATTCTCGCGTGACACAAAATCTTCAGACCCCAGGGGCAGGCATTCAAAGGGACTCGGATATACGTCGAATTTTGAACTCTACCCATGTGGGACAGCGTAGGGAAAGAGTGCTTTCCCCTAGCGCACTGCAACTGCAGACTGAAGACTTCAACCACAAGCCCGCGCACGCTGAACCCTGAAAGCCGACAATTAAACTCCTGAGCAAAAGGCGAATGGCAAACCTGAGGCCTATACCCTGGACACCGAACACGGCAAAATTCAACGAGTTCAGGATTTAGGACGCGGGGTTTAGGATTTGTTGTTCAGAGGTCCTCCCGTTGAGTGTCCAGAGTTTAGGATAGCAGGCTCCCCACTTTGTAGGGTTCTTGTTCCAGTGCGTTGCAAGCACCCTGCATGCAGAAACCCGTGATCAGGCATACTCCAGAAACAATACCTTGGGTCCACATCTGAAGGTCTAAATTAAGGCCATGGAGGGATTTCAGAACGTCTCTGGGGTCGATACGGGTACCCTCAATCCTGACCCGCACAAACCAGATTACATCCCCTCTCAGAAGCAGTTTGCGTTACTCATGCTTCCAAAAAACCTAAAAAGGAGAGCGTGTAACAAGTCGAGAGACCACCGATGAGCAGATAGCTGCCGACGCCGCATAGCTACCGCCAAGGCCGCTCTTGTCGAATTGGAGACACCCGCCCAAGGGAGTTTAGTGGGTTCGGGATGTTGAGGTGCTGGAGTGGGCTTGGGGCTTGGGTTTAGGAGTTTAGGGTGTGGGTTTGAAGTTTTGGAATGTATGTAAGGTGTGCTTGTATCTTTGCAATCATTCTTCGTGGTGAGCATGTCTGGGTGGGGGCCTGAGGTAGGATGCAGGATGGGGGTTTTTGGATCATTTTGGGGCAACTGAGACCCCTCAAGTGGTTCGGGCTTTACATTATCTGGAGAGGCTGCGTGTGCTGGCTTCAGCGGGGGTTGGGGGTTCAAAGATGATGCATATGTTGGGGTTATATAGGGTTATATAGGGATATAAAAAAGAAAATGGAAGCTACTATATTATGATAGGGTATATATTGGGGTTATATGCTCTATCCCTATCATGTGTAAACATGCTGTCGTGCTTTGGACATCATGCAGAACGGTTTGCAGCTGAGATTGACCCGAGAAGTTCTGACCCTAAACCCTAAGCTGGCTCCTGAAGCTTTCTGAACCTCCCCTCTGCGGGATCTTCAGAAACAGGTTCTCACTCTTTTGGGGAGGGTGGCATAAGCTCCATACGAATTCTACACAGCCCTGGATGCCACAGTGTAAGCAGAAAGTCTGTATAGTCTCATCTTTCTGTGCTTTGCTTGCACCTTGTAATATTTTAACCTAAACTCATACTGCTGGATGCACACGCCTACGTCTAAGAGTGCCTTTATTCACTCTCTCAGACACCCTTCAGCATCAGTAAGCACCTTGTGAAAGGGCCAGCTCAATGCAGTGCTTATGGCTCATGATGGCTCAGCAAACCTTGCAGCTAAAAATCCTCTTCAAGCCACCCAAAACAAACCCCAACACCCAACGTTAGAGTTGCTAAGACGCCTCGGAAAGCTCCCAGCGTTAGATGCAGAAGCCCACCTCCTCAACTCTCAACCCCACACCCATGCGAATATTTACTGCCCCCTCCAATACAAGGCCGCGGCTGTTTTTTCCACTTTTTGCATACTATCGTATACTAGAATACAATTCAATACTATCGTATACCATAGCACACTTATGCTATAGTCTATAGCATACGATTATATGAAATAGCCCCACGACTGCCAAGCTTGAATCTCTAAGCTCATCTTGATTGATTGCCAGTAAAGTAGACTACAAGTAACTGTTCTAATATACCATAACATACGATTATACATTTAGGGCTTATATTATCGTTCTCTAAGAACCCTTCAATAACTCCCAAACAACCCCATCGTAATCCCTATGTAAGCCCTAAATAACCCCTAAAAGGCCATGTAACCCCTAAATAATCCTATAAACCCTAAATAACACCTAACTCACCCCTACATTATTAGAGTTTATACAGTGGCTTCATAGAGGTTGATTTTGGTTATTTGAGGGTCACCTAGAATTTATTTAGGGTAGCCAAGAATATATTGAAATCACGGTTCTGCCTTCACAGTGATGAGGATGATGAGAGCGGAGGCACAACACATCTCCGAGGAAGAGCTCAGCCATATCAACATAATCGGTAAACGATTATAAGACTCCAGACTCCAGAACAGATCCACCAAATTCGGCAGAAGGTTCAGTTTTGTGGAGTCCCTAAAATCTGCAGCGACGCCTGACCACCCTTGCCCAGGGGTCTGCAGCCTTGCCTTGTTCCATGCAAGTTTGGGCTTCAAGGTGGGACTTGACGTGTCACTTGTCCTAGAGTATATGATGGGTACCCAGTGACTACTAAGAAGGGGAGACCTTCAGAACTACCCAGGCAGCTCAATGCACCTAGCACTCATTTTGGGCGTAGCTGTCGTAAGTTGACGGACTGCTGGTGCCTATGCATCTCTTGCTCCGAACTTTCTTGCAGATGGCACTTTTGGCGACAAAGGTCGACATCAACATGGCATAATTGCGATCGCACGCTGTAAGCGTGTCGACACTTCTTGCTTTGGAAATGTATGTGTCATGTAGACATTCATCGGATGCATGCTTCCATGATCTTGTATTGTATAAGCCTTTGCAAAGGACAGTCCGAGGGGAGATCTAAGCTATTCTTATGGGATGCCAGCTGCTCTTAGAAATTGCTGTACATGGCACCAGTTTGCGGCACACACCAGTTGTATTGACGCAAAACACATCAGGGAACACAGCTGGGACTACGACGCAAGCTCACACCTCTGCACACATCTACTGTGATTGTGAAGATGTCAAGCATGATACGTCTAGATCCTGTGCGTAGTGGGCCCTGCCGGGCTGCATCATATGTCCTACTAAAGAGAAACAACCACTTTGAAACAGTAAATATTCTAAAATATCAGGGCTTCGACAAATAAGGGAACCCCAGCACAGTCCCCAGTATACTGTAATCGTTATTATGGAGATCAACAAAAAAGAACCCTGATTCCAAAACAAAAACAGATGTTGCGATTAGATAAGGGAGAGGTAGTGATCATTGCGGGGCTGGGATTTTACTGTTCCCAGCAAGGGATTACCAGTCTGAGATCACAATCTGGGAATGCGGTGTCTGGATGCTTGGATTCACGTTGGTTCCTGAGAAAAGCTTCCCAAAATCAGAAAGGAACCTCGCAAACTACCAATAGATTGAGAAAAGCCCCAAACATTGTACTTTCCAAACATGTGGGGGGCTCCAATACGGATCCCGAAATACAACAATCCTTGTGTTGCGGGAGGCCTGAAAAGGTACCCCTAATTTGGGGCAACCCTAGTCCCCACATCATCCCAGATGCCATGTCATTTTCCATGTTCGTTTCCATTTGATTCTCCATTGTTGGCCATTTTCTTTTCCCTTTGCCTGTGACATATGCTACACACAAGATTTCACTGCCAGGCCATGCTGGCAAACCATCCAGTCCCAGTCGGACCTTGCAAAAATTGGGAATTCACAAACGAGGAAGGCAGACCTTTGTCCCATCAAAAGGATTCTAAAGATTCTAAATTTTCAGAGGCTTCCAAATGTGTGCTGTCAATTTGAGGATCGGGAAGGGGAGGCTAGCTAGCCCCCAGGCTCAACTAGCTTGGAGTTGTCTCAGGAGGTAGCAAGAGAAGCTGAGGTTGCTGGTCTCATTGCAGACCAAAATCCAAAGAAACACGCTAAGCTTTACTGCAAAACTTTACTGTTGTGGGTTCAAGGAATTTCCCTGTCTTCAGGTCGCGGCCAGTCGAACTCGGTCACATACCTCCTTCCCTGGAACTTCGTGTAGGAACCCAAGTCCTGCAGGCAGACTCCAGCTGCAAAGAGTCTTTAGATCCAGCAAGATTGATCAAGGCTTTCTAATTTCGGCTTTGGGACTTGAAATTTCGAATGCAGGTTCGAAGGAACTCCCTGAAGAGCTGACCACTGAACCCAGAAACTCCCAACCTTCAAATCCATCCACAAACAAACTTGTGAATGAGCTATAGTCTAAACTCGTAGTATCCCCCTTAATTGCCCCTGTAGTGGTGCCCTATATAATCCCTTATATAACGCCATTTCAGGAGTTTAGACTATCGTTCATGTAACCAATAAACACTACAAAGACACTATTCCTGACGTGGCCCGTGCCAAGCAGGCCTGCAGCTTTGGGGTTATATAGGGCTATTACCCAAATAATGAAGAATGAAATGGAAAAGACAACGGAACATTAAATGAACACTGGGATTATACGGTGGGTGATAAAGAAAGAAGAAACTACCACAATTGAGGTTACACAGGGGTATAATATAGAGTATAATATGAGGTTATGAAGGGATAAAGGGAAAGTCAATTGAAACTACTATATTATATTGAGGTTAGAAAGGGATACTGGAAAAGAACTTGGAAGCTACTATTTAGGGTCTAGGGTTCAGGGTT